CTGGATAGAGACAGAGAAGGGGCAGTCATAACCAAACATCTGCTCACCTACTTCACAGCTATAGGGCCTCTCTTACAAATTCTTCAGAAATGACGACGGCCAACTTGTACATGCTATTTGTCATATTACTTAACTATTTGGTAAGAATATTAGAGTACCACAGTACTTAGATACTGGCCTTCCAGAGGCATCAGATTTCATTGGATTCTACCTTTATGTCCCTTACCTCCTACATATTATGCTAAGATGGGGGAGCTTTGACTAGCAGAGTTAAAAATAAACAACTACATGTCAGTGTTCTCAATACTTGATCATCAATCATCTCGCCAGTGTCACGGTGCTATCAATATAAAGCCTTTTGAAATGGTTTAAAGGTCTGATTAAAATAAACTATAAAGATTAAACAATTAGAAAAATATGCTATAAGTATCTGTTATCAAAGTTAGTAAAGAGAATGTATATAGAAAGTACTTAAGCATAAAACATCATTACTATCTTCAAATTTTACGGATAGATATAAAATATATAAGTACTAGAAAAATGCATATAGTAATACATATTACTTCATGAGTACATGTAGCAACTCATATAGGATATATATACAAATGTATATCCAGAAAATAGCCACCTAGACAGGTCTTCTCAAAGAAGGAATCATAAGTCAAGTATTCTTCTTTAAACATTTTCTTATTTCAGGCTAACTAGACTTATACCAGGGAGTCTGGAAATTGAAAGATTATTTCAAAGGTTATTCATTAAACTGAAAGAAAAAGTATTTTACTTGAAATTTTCTTTCCTTTCAAGGTTCTGAGAATTACAGAGTCAAAAGGAAAAGCAAATAAGGTGGGAGAGAAAAAAAGGAGAGGAGAAAGGAGAGGCAAGAGAAATACAGGGTGAGAAAGAGTCGGGGGGAAAAAAGTCCTAGAAAAGAGAACGGCAGGAGAGGTGAGCAGGAAAACCTTGTAGGCAGGAGAGCCTGAGGTAGAGGCTCGCCCGGCCACAGCTGTGCTATGTTGAAGGCACTGCTCATACCAACGAGCATGTAATCAAACAACGTGTCAACTTGCCAAGTTTGCAACCTTTGAAAAAGCAATCATTTTCTTTCCTAGAAAAAACAATCCACTTTTACTGTAAATAAAAGCAAGTGTTTATATAAATACTGCTTAAGAACAAATCCATGGGACAACACTGTGTCTTGGAAAACAGGAAAAGATTAGTAGACATGGTTCACTATTTTAAGAGTCATTTTCACACAGTTAAAAACTTTTCTGGCACTTCATGTTATGAAGAAAGGAGAAACTGCTAATGAAAAAGAAGTGCGGAGAGAACAAAATAAAGGAAATCCAGGGTGGATAAATCTCCCCCGCCTCAAACAAACAAAACTTATAATTAATACTAGAAATAACTTTGTCTTTTCTATCCCATGCTGATATCTTAAAATATGGATTGATTAGATCTAGTTTTATAACACGAAGAATCACATTATGACAGGAAAAAAAAAACTCAGTGATTTTCACAAGTATTTCTGGATTTTTTTTTTTTTAGAACATACTGACATACCTATAGGTGACTGCATTTGAATTTATCATAATAAAAGGCATTCTGAAATGCGTGCTGTAAAATTGACCCAACGCATTGCCCAAGTGTTTAGTTGTTTAAAAATTGAGTGGCTAGTTTACTTAATTGTTTGGGCCTTGATAAACAAATAGAATGGTTAGAACAAGCAGTTTTAAAATTAATCTGTCACAAAAATGCCTTTTCTTCCGCCAATTATTTACCTCATACTATCTCCAAATAATGGGGAATCAAACTAAAATGAAGAGACAAGGTAAGACAGAAATGTTAACCTTTAAAAAGGCTGCCAATCCAGATACACAGAAAGACAGACAGATACTACATATATATATACAGACAGATATTACATATATGTAGACAGCCAAATACATACACAGAGATAAACATACACACAGATACATACCTTCTGTAAAGTCTATCATGTGATAAAAACTTGCCACACTTCCCTCATCTAAGCCCCTAATTACTTTTTAGCGTATGGAGAGCTTTCACTTAATTACCTTTATATCTTTATATCTACAAGTACTTGTTATACGTGAATCCTAACAAATGTACTTTTTAAGAAGTTTTATGAATGGACACCTATCATAATACACTGCAAGTTTACAGCTAGATTTCAGCTTATACAAATTATATGACTCTATAGCTTGTGGCAACTGTGACTGATTTGCTGTATAAGCGAATTTAAGCAAGAATTGTACCTTTGCATTTTCGAGTCCATTAGCCCTTTTACTACGGTTAGGTTAGTTTTTACTTTTAAAATGGTTTGTATTTCCCTTATAATGAAAACTTTATGACATAAATAACCATCACATCCTCCTCAAATCATATGTATCACATATTTGTGGTGTTCTTCAAGTTTTAAGCTGATTCTGTCTTTCCTTCTAGAACACCGTCATCTAAAACTGACAAACATGTGTGCAAAGATAGGTAGAAAGACAAGCCAACTCACACATAATTGAACACTCTAACTCCAAAGCTATGTACGGAAACGCAAATCAAAATTAATTCTATATGTAGGAAAACACAGATGCACTTCTGAGGGATTTCTAACACTACAAAGAAGCCAATACTATCATCTCTAAATCCACATACATAAGCTCATCCCAAGTGGAATGTTTGAGGCTACTAAAACATTTAAATTATTTTAATAAATAGAAAACTAGATTTTCCTGCAACAAATATCAGTTATATGTTATATGTAGGCAGCTCCACTTGCCTTGTTTAGATAATTTTCAAAATGCAAAACTTCTCCATTTTAAGCAATTCACTTTGTGACACATTTCCTTTGCTCCTCCTTTATCACTTTTGTTACAATCTCAATACATTTCTTTGCTATTCCAAACTGCTGTTAGAATTCCCTGACAAAGATGGGTAGAGATTAACTGAGTACATAAGAAATTTTTTTGCAGATCATGCTACTTTATCAGTATTTAAACAGGTAAGACCAGCATCTATTTGAAAATATATGGAGAAATTTCTGAAACATATAAACCTTAGTAAGCCCAGCGTTAAGCTTAAGAAAATATTTTCCACTAGGTATATCATTTTGTTCATGTAAATATTCTAATGAGGGACCACAATTTAGATATGTGAGAGAAGCTATTTTCTGGTGAGAAGGCAAATAAAAGTCTGGTAGGTCCTAAGAAGGTGGGATACATTACGCAGTCACCAAATGGAAGAAATAGCTGGTTCTGAATGGGTATCCTAGTGAAAACTATAGTCTATCAATTAAAATCTTCAAAAGTGAAGAAAGGGAATGAAGTCAACTTTGGTTGGGAGATTTCTTTTTCTCTCTTGGTGTTACTGTACTGACCGATCCAAAATTCCCCACGGCGATGCACCCAGTAAGGGTTTCTTTCTTTCTTTCTTTTTTTTTTTTTAAAGATTTTATTTATTTATTTGACAGAGACATAGCAAGAGAGGGAACACAAGCAGGGGGAGTGGGAGAGGGAGAAGCAGGCTTCCCATGGAGCAGGGAGTCCGATGCGGGGCTCGATCCCAGGACCCTGGGATCATGACCTGAGCCGAAGGCAGACGCTTAATGACTGAGCCACCCAGGCGCCCCTCCCAGTAAGGGTTTCATTTGCCCTCATTTACTTTCTCGTTAGATGAATTAAGCATAAACCTGATGTGTTTGCTCTGTATGCTAAGAAGTAATGGGTAAATGGACATAAAGCTATGTATTCTGAAAAGAGAGAGGAAAACTTCTGCAACTGTCCTGAAATGAGTCAAAATGGTAAAAAGTTTAAAGTATTTAGATAGTATCCTACAGCAGTTAGAGGATGACTTTAGATTAAAAAAAATTACAAATGTGCTTCTATTAAACTTCCGAATGTACCTCATTGAAGGGGTCAAAAAGTTATTAAGAGAAGATCATGGCTCACTTCAAATGAATCTAAAGTTATTGAAAGGGTTATGAAAATGGCCCCCAATTTTTATTTGCCATAAAAAGCCCACCATCTTTTAACAGTCTAGTTCAACTGGAACATTTCTGAATATGTTGGGTTTGCATATTAAGCGCGCCACTTAAACATCCCAAGTATATGTGGGTGATTGGAACAGTTCTTAGCATGTCAGTCCAATTTGTTCTTCACTAAACATGAATTAGAAAAAAAAAACAGTCAAAACATGTAGGTGAGACTTTTGGTAAAAAACATTATTTCCTTGTTAACAGGGTCTGCCAACTATTGGTTCACAGATCCCTTCATTCTTTGCTTAAAATTTGAAGCCAAAGGAAGTTCTGGTCGCGAGTCCCTGGTCATTAAGAGGGGGAAAAAAGGAGGATTAACTATGTGTATAATAAATGCAAAACTAGTTTTCAAGTTACACTATGTCCTTCTATTTTAGCCAGCATTTGATAGGAAATATTGGATTGCACATGCTTTGATTTTTCTGTTCAGTTCTTTCCTCTCTATCTATAGTTTATTTTAACATAAGAAACTATTGTATTGCAGTCCCTGTCTTGGTCCAAATTCAAGCCCTGGTAACATGTTATAATATCCATCATAATAGTAGCCTTCCAAAAGCTTCCTGGTTTTATGGTATTAAAAAGAACTGACAATGAATTGAGTGGTATTTGTAAGCTTTTCATCAAGTGCCGAACAGGAGTATTTAAAGAGATCTGGGATGGACAGTGCAATATTGCTATTTAATGCAATCTTTTAGCAGCAAGGAGACAGTGTGACGGGAACAACGGGAAGATTGGCCCGGCGCAATATCAGGCACTGAGATTGCTTTTCATCGTGATTCATCGCTACTTAGTTTCTACCATAGCTTAAGACATTAGTTTTAATTTAGCATCCTTTCATTCCTTTGACGAAGCAGGGTGAGTTCTGTTGTGGAAAGTCGAGTTTGTCCAACTTTCCCGTTCTCTTCGTTATACACAAATATCGCAGAAGAGAGTATAGCTTTTCCTTTGTACG